GTTAAGGGTCCACTGTATCTATATGGGAAAGAAGAGAAAGATCATGAGCTTGGGTAGCATTCTGTACCATGATGATGCGCGTACCGCTCTTAAGAGCATGAAAAGAAATATCTTTACCAACATGGCATAGGAGTGCCTTGCCAATACTGTGGTCGGAAAGATAGGCGGTAAAGTCAGTCGTAAAGTGAAGAATTTAGTCCATTGTGCAGTCTGAAACTGAGCATGGAAAGGGAGTGCAGGACGTGTCGATCTTTTCTGAGAAGAACGAGAAGGTAGAGAAGTATCATCAGCAGGTAATTGTCGTTGGCGTTTAGGCGTGGGACCAGAGTTGATCCGACGTGGAACGGGCCTGTGATTCGAAAATTGCCGCACCATAGAGGGAGAGGCCGGAAGCATAGTCAAAGGAGAGCAGAGGTCAGATAAATCAAAGGAGTCAGTCGAGACCTCAGTACCTGAAGCGGGTGAGGAAACAGCACCAGCAAGGGGTACAGAGGCATGAGGAGTGTCCAAAGAGTGGTCCAAAGACAAGGCGGGGTCAGAACGGAGTGCGGTATCAAGAAGGGGCCTGGGGGTACCAGGTTCATGGATTGGGTTCTCCATGGTTAGGATACTTCTTTCTTTTTGTTTTTAAGAAAAAAAAGAAAGAAGAAAAGAAAATAAAAATAAAAAAAAGAATAAAAAAAAGGGGGACCGGGGAGGGATAGTTCCTAGGAGGAATGAAAGGGCCAGAAATCTCCCTCTGCGCCCAAGAGGACCTCAGCACCGCAAGTAGCATAGATGCAGCATGGAACCCGTGCCATACCCTACCCATCATGCCAGTGAACCAGCAATCCGGGATAGCAACCTCACATCTGCCGAGCTACCTCAGTGGACAAAAGAGAGGGCGGCCGGATATCCGCCACAAAGCATACCTCCTTCGGCCACCACCCCCGGAATCCGAAAGGTGGCTTCCAGAGATACACCCATCGCCTGAAAGACACCCAAAGCCACTCTCCGGGATACCGGAGAGGGATCAGGACATCCCCAGGCGATCCAGATTCCACGGCAAACTACGCCACCGCCAAGAACCTCAACGGAATGGGATGGACCCCGGTACCCTTTCCCCTACCTAGGAACTAGTGCGCCTGTGGGAAAAATCCCAAAGGCCAAAAAGAGGAAGGGCAAAAGGGAGGGGTGGGGAGGGGGAGGAGGAAAGGGAAAAGGGGAGGATGGGGAGGATGGGATAGGGAAGGGGGGATTGGGGGGTAATTAGGTTTGGTCTGAGGAAGGAGACTGACAGGTCTAACTCCTCAGACCAAGAGCCTCTTCACCATGCCAAGGAGCCCCCCCTGAAGAGGTCTTAGGTAAAGCTCAGTATTCTTCAGTAAGGACTAGCTTCACTGTCTCCTTGCTAGCCAAAAAAAAAAAAAAAAAAAAAAAAAAAATCCTGATCATGGCAAATATATGAAAAATTGATGCAAAATCTTAAGTAACCTTCTGTAATCAACCACCTGCCTCGAAACACAATCATCCCTGTGGAAAACTACCACTATCAGCATTCTGAAAACCAGTTACCACATCTGACCCCCAATTTACAACCTAGAAAGGGTCAGGTCAGATGCTTAGAAGATCAGTGTGAACCATTCTGTAGCATACTTTAGGAATGAAATGAAAATCATTAATATCTTTAGGCATGCAACAGAAATCAATTATGTATCATATATGCTGAAAACAGATATGATTACTGATTTCACCCAAGTGAAAAGGAGACTGGATCTAGCACTGAGAGTCAAGTTGGATTAATGAAAGATTTGTATGTAGAAAGGTTTTTTTTAAGCCACTGCAAGCAAACCCACAATCAAAAAATAAAACTATATAGTGTGAGTTTTATATTCTCTTGTTGCTGAGACAAAAATCTCCCAGGGTTAGAGTAAAAGATGGGGTACTTGTTTTATGTTTATTTCACAAGGGGAGTGCTAACCCATAGGGGTCATACACTGCCTTGGGGAATTTGATGTAATCAAATTCTATCCAAGGAAAGGGTAGTTCCACTTCACTGGATCAAGAGCCTTTCACTGGATGATTGTTGTACAGCATGCAGGGTACACAATCAATACACAAATAACCCGCACATAAAAGAGAGAAGCTTACGACGACGTTTCGGTCCGACTTGGACCATTTACAAAATCACACAAGTCCAAGTCGGGACCGAAACATTGTCGTAAGCTTCTCTCTTTTATGTGCGAGTTATTTGTGTATCGTTCCAGTCACGGTATTGTGCCTTTTTTTGTTATTTATGTACACGATCAAGTTCCTAGAGCAATAGTCAGAAGGAATACTGTTTTCTGGATAAGGTAGATATTTTGTTCAAGGTGAATGATATGTGATAGGTTGGTGAATGACAGGTTATAGGTAATATATGATAACACAACCTCGAAAGAGCAACTGGAGATCTGGGGCATGTAAAAGCATGATTTCAATTGTGATTTAATTGTGAGTGGTCAGTAGGAAAACTCACAGGTGACACAAGTTCACCTGTTTTACAGTAACATCTTAAATCATGCAATTTATAGCTAATTTTCACCATTGTTCAAAAGTTGTAAACAAGCAGTTACAGGTTCAGCACTGATGTGAGATCAAAGAGCCTCAAACAAAATAAAATACAACCTCTCCTCATTTAACAACGGAGTTCCATTCCTAAGACCACATCGGTAAATGAATTCATTGCTAAGTGAGGAGCATACTGAAATGGTAATGGGTTTGTGTCAACCATCTTTGATATTGTTTTAACCCTTAAACTGTCCAAACGTAGGTCTACGTTTGCACACACAGTGCTCCGCCCTTGATTTTCTCCATAGAATGTAAAAAAAACGTAGATCTACGTTTGGAGCGCTACACAAGCAAACGTAGATCTACGTTTGGACAGTTTAAGGGTTAATGTCACCTTTGCACCATTTATAACATTTCTGGTATATTTTTAAATGTTTATACAGTAGTGTACTGTATACTGTAATAGACAGAATAGAGGAATTCAGTTCTAATACACATTATTTAGGTATGCATACTCGTCAAAGTGCCTGTCGTAAGTCCAAGTCATCAGTAAACAAGTACGTCGCCAAGTGAGGAGAGGCTGTACATTGATCTTCTCACCCTTGCCAAACAACCCAGTTTCCATGACCCACCATTTCTGCTGAGGTCCTCCTTATTCTCAATATGCCTGTCTCTGCCTCTCCACCAATCCTACTATTGTTTGCATCTGCTTTACACTAATCATATGGCAAGTCCAGAACATGTATCTCAATGTTATCACTCATGCAATAGGTCCAGTTAGTGTAGCATAAGAGAAAAAGGGGATTTGGAAGTTATGAAAAGCAGAATTCTGAAGGGAAGACAGCAGTGCCTAAGTGTCTGTAATAAGGCTAACAGACTGCATGGATTGACAAAGTCCCCTTAGTGGGCAAAATATTTCCTCAATAAATGTTCTGTATGTTGCACCTGTATCTTTACCTAACAAGAAGTAGAGGTATATGCAACAGGAGCCCAAATGTTATTCTACATACAGAGAATGATGGCAAAATTAATCCACTATATAAGGAAGCATTCAAACAGTTAGACCAAAAGCCCTAAACCTGCACTCATGAAAGATGCAGAAAGGGGAGAGACATTACTGAAGAATATACATGGAAGGCAGGTACAAGAGGCCCCCCGCATATACAGCTCCTACTTTTCGGCGTTCCATGTTTTCATTGGTTTTCAATTGAGACATTGTTTATGTTTGGTACTTTTACTGCTTTTCCACCATTATTGCCATTTTTGTGCAACAGTTGCATAAGGGAAGGACGAACATACCGAATTTTAAGGTAAGTATTTTATCTGCTTTTTTAAGCGTAGCTGTATTGAGTACGTACTTAACCCTTTCACTGTCGGTGACATATAGGGACGGCTTACAAGCCAATGTTGGTGATGTATTAATACCCCAAAATTCTAGTGGCTTCAAATCTAGCAGGAGAAAGCTGGTAGACCTACATGTAAGAGAATGGGTCTGAGTGTGCAGTGTAAAAAAATCCTGCAGCACGCAGCGCATAATGAGAAAAAAAAAACTCCAACCATGTTTTTGGATTAAAACGCCAACTTTCAGGTGTATTTTATGGTATTTATGGTTGTATTCTCGTTTTCTTGATCTCATTTGATAGAATGGAAGATATATTATAGAAGCAGAGATGATTTTGATTGGTTTCATGATGAAGAGTACCTTGAAATTGAGGTCTAAGTAGTAGAAATGTTCGATTTTTGCTGATATTCAAGAGTAAACAAATGACATCACCATCCAATACGTATCCAACTGGCCAGTCTAATACGTAGCCACATTATTTACACGATTAGATAATAATGCAGTAGTCTGCATAACAGTAAATCTATTTTTTGTGTGAGGAAAAATTTGAAATGGAAAGCAAGAGTAATATAAGAGGGGCCTGGAGATGTGACTAATGAACAGGGAAAACGTTATTTTAGTGCCAGGAATATTTGAATTGTTAATTCTGGACCCTATTTTAAAATTGGCAGCTTTTGAAATTTGCAGAAAATTGGCCAAATTGCCAATTTCTGATCACTTTCTTGGGTAGTTGATATCAGTAAATGGGCAGTTTCTTGTACTCAATCGATAGCATAAATGGAGTTCTAGAGAAATAACTATAAGTTTGGTCAACTGGAACAATGGAACTGGCCAAAAATAGGGCTCAAAGTGGGCGAAATCGCCAATGCGTATATATTGCCAAGACCGCTAACATTGCAAGAGCGCAATTCCATGAGTTTTCCTTCAAACTTTACATTTTGGTGTCATTACCATCAGGGAAAGATTCTCTATCATTTCATAAGAATTTTTTTTTTTAAATTCTTCAACACTGAGAGCAAGTTTGTGAGCAGGGGTCTTGACAGTGAAAGGGTTAATATATGATACTGTAAACATGTTATCAAGCGTTTTAGATGCATTCAATAATGAAAAAACACACTTTTCCACCCACCGGCAATTTTTGATGATCATTTGGGGTCACTGTACAAACTGTGGAGCTGTACAAACAGAGTCCTGTATAAATAAAGAAGATAAAGAAAGGATGCTTAGATTTTATAACCAAGAACTCAGAACAATGGATTCTAGTTTGATAAATTCATATTTAGAAAAAATATAGGAACTGATTCATTTGGAAATGCAATTTTAGACAAGTGGAGCAAAAATCTGGCACGCAAGGTTAGAGACAGGTATGAAATCTGAGTGCTCTTCAAAATAAAAAATTCCTACAACATACATAAGAAAAGCAAAACAAAAATTTACAATGAAAAAACACAACATGCAAGTACACACAGTCACACCAAGTTAAAATACCCAGCAATAGTTAAAAGTCCTAAAAACTTTCCGAGATCCCTACAGGCACCCTGGAAATTATAAAAACCACAACAAAAATTAAAAGGCCTAAGCCATATGCAAAAAAATTTAAATGTTTCACAGTCAGCTGCATGCCACAAGGATCACAGGGAAGTGGAGGGTCACGAGCACCTACAAACAGGTGGCCACGGTGGGTGAGGTGTGTGTGTCCAATCACCTGCAATCTTTAAAAACAGGTTGGATAAATGTATGAGTGCCTGGTGGCTCAGTTGGCAGCACATACAGCTCACACACTGAGTGCCCATTTTTCAATCCCCAGTACAGGTGAAAACACTGGGCATGTTTCCTTACACCTGCTGTCCCTGTTCACCTAGAAGTAAGTGGGCACCTGGGTGTTAGCTGATTGGTGTGCATCACATCCTGAGTGGTGATAGTATACAGTAGGGGTCCACTTTACGGCGTTTCGCTTTACGGCATTCTGCTAATTCGGTCATTTCAAATTATGATCAAAACTCACTATACGGCTCCCCCCACCTGACTTTCTAATACGGTCAACGCGCCCCAACCGGTTTGTTTACATTCTCTGTGAGATCCGTAAGCACTAAGTCTCTCCATTATGTCTGGAAACTCCAAAATTTCAAGTGTTTTTAAAAGTTATTTCATATTTTATATATACAGTGGACCCCCGCATACCATTGGCATCACATAACGTTTAATCCGCACACCGCTCGCTTTTATCGCAAAAATTTTGCCTCGCATACCGCTCAAAAACCCGCTCACCGCTGTTCGTCCGAGACGCGTCCAATGTGCGCCCTTAGCCAGCCTCACATGTGCCGCCGGTGACATTGTTTACCAGCCAGCCTCCGCGGTAACATCCAAGCATACAATCGGAACATTTCGTATTATTACAGTGTTTTTGGTGATTTTATCTGCAAAATAAATGACCATGGGCCCCAAGAAAGCTTCTAGTGCCAACCCTACAGCAATAAGGGTGAGAATTACTATAGAGATGAAGAAAAAGATCATTGATAAGTATGAAAGTGGAGTGCGTGTCTCCGAGCTGGCCAGGTTGTATAATAAACCCCAATCAACCATCGCTACTATTGGTGGTACAGCTGCTGCTGTACCACCGTCAGCTGCTGCTGCTGCTCCACTGTCAGCTGCTGCTGCTGCTGTAGCACCGTCAGCTGCTGCTGCTGCTGTACCACTGTCAGCTGCTGCTCCTGCTGTAGTACTGTCTGCTGCTGCTGTAGCATCGTCTGCTGCTGCTGTAGCATCGTCTGCTGCTGCTGTAGCACTGTCAGCTGCTGCTGCTGTTGTACCACCGTCAGCTGCTGCTGCTGCTGCTGCTGTAGTACCGTCTGCTGCTGCTGTAGCATCGTCTGCTGCTGCTGTATCACTGTCAGCTGCTCCTGCTGCTGCTGCTGTAGCACCGTTGTTGGTGTGGCTTATTGAGAATACCAAGAAACAATTAACCCCAGAGGATTTGCCACCCAGGATAACCCAAAAAAGTCAGTGTCATCGAAGACTGTCTAACTTATTTCCATTGGGGTCCTTAATCTTGTCTACCAGGATGCAACCCACACCAGTCGACTAACACCCAGGTGAACAGGGAAAAATGCCTGGAACTAGTGCTCATATTGGTGAATTTAAAGCCAGCAAAGGTTGGTTTGAGAGATTTAAGAATCGTAGTGGCATACACAGTGTGATAAGGCCTGTTCTGGAAGAAAATGCCAAACAGGACCTACAGTACTCAGGAGGAAAAGGCACTCCCAGGACACAGTGTCTCATCAGTCATTGCTGCATCTTCAATAAAGGTAAGTGTCATTTATTCTTCATTTAGTAGAGTAGTACATGCACAATATATATTGTGCATGTACTACTCTACTATTGTGCATGTATCCTTCTCTTTGTGTGTAGGAAAGTGTATATTTCATGTGGTAAAAATTTTTTTTTCATACTTTTGGGTGTCTTGCACGGATTAATTTGATTTCCATTATTTCTTATGGGGAAAATTCATTTGCATACCGATCATTTCGCATAACAATGAGCCCTCTTGCATGGATTAAAATCGCTATGCGGGGGTCCACTGTACTCTGATAATTATACTTATGTATACCTGTACCTAAATAAACTTACATACTGTGCTGGCGTGCAGGTACACATTAAAATCATTAAGTGTGTCTTATATCTCGAGACGTCATATTAGTAATGATAATAATAATCACCGAGTCTCATTTAAATGTCGTATATTACGTTAATATACACATTTTCATTAATCTATCTATGATATTTTTTCAAAATTATATAATAAACACAATGCATAACATATAAAGATGATAAATACACCTCACAGTAGAATAAATAAACATAAATATGAGATGTGGTAGCCAGACGACTTGCATAAATGATGCCATATTAGAAATGATAATAATAATAATAATAATAATAATCACCGAGTCTCATTAAATGTCGTATATTACGTTAATATACACATTTTCATTAATCCATGCATGATATTTTTTTCAAAATTATATAATAAACACGATACATAATATATAAAGATGATAAATACACCCCACAATAGAATAAACAAACATAAATATGAGATGTCATGTCGTAGCCAGAAAACTTGTACAAGTGACTGCAAGAATAACATTTTCTCTAGTCTAACATAAGAGAAAATGTGTTACTGGGGGTAACTGTAGAAAATCATTCCTTTCATATGTATGTATGTAAGTTTATTCAGGAATACACAAATGCAGTTGCATAGATTATCACACATAACAGCATATGCATAGAGAACCTAGGATAACCCAAAAAAGTCAGAGTGACTTATTCCATTGCCTTCACTCAGAGCGTCATTTCTTCTAAAAATGGAGTTAAATGAGAATGGGAGTGTTATTCTTTATTTATTCTACTGTATCAATGTAGAGACAACTTGTACACAATGTAACTTGTACACAAACCAGACGTGTACACTTTGTTTGTTCACAAAACTTACGTTTGCCTGGTTTGTTTACATAACTCTGCACCTGTCCTCCCTCATGTACTCTCTCTCTCATTTATTCGTTTTATCTCGTTTACTCACCCGTGACCCTACATTAACCCATTCAGGGTCAGAGGCCAAATTTCAAAGTGTGCACCAGGGTCCAGAATTTTCAACAAATAATTTTGTTATTTTTTCTTATGAAATGGTAGAGAATCTTTTTCTGAAGGTAATAAAACAAAAAGTATGAAATTTGATGGAAAATTGATGAAATTATGCTCTCGTGAATTCTGATGTGTCGGCAATATTTACGCATTGGCGATTTTGCCGACTTTGACTCCCATTTTATCAAATCAAAGTAAATCAAATCAAATCAAATCAAATCAAAGTTTATTCTCTATAAGGATTACAATGCAGGGTTTACAGATTTTGGTTATTGTGTGGTTTACATGTAGTAAAATAATAATTACAGAGGGGGCCACTAGAACACCTAGCATGGCTAGGCATTTTGGGCAAACTTAGATTAATTCTTAACCCTAAATTATAACAAATTGTGGAGTAAGTTGACTAAATACTAAGTGACAAATATACTAGTTTGTGAGTTTAGCAATGTGAATGCTTTTGTTTTGGCACAATATATAGTTTCTATATTGGAATATCACATGCAAACTTACGACTAGTTTGGAATCATTACGTATTTTAAGATTAGGATACGTATTTCTGTGCTTATAGTCAAATGGGTGAGTGAGTGAGTGTAAATGTGGACCACCAGGTGGTTTTTACGTAGTTAGTTGATGGGGTGTATCAGGGAAATAAGATGTTTTCTAACAGTAGTTTTGAAGGTGATGAATGTGTCTGCTGTTCTAGAGCTTTCAGGTAGAGTGTTCCAGATTTTAGGGCCTTTGATATACATTGAGTTTTTGTAAAGGTTTAGTCGAACACGGGGAATGTCGTAGAGATGTTTGTGTCTCGTGTTATGCCTGTGGGTCCTGTCACAACTATCAAGAAAGCATTTTATGTCAAGGTTAATATTAGAATTTAAGGTACTGTATATGTAGATTGCACAGTACTAAGTGTGGATGTTCTGAACAGGGAGTAAGTTTAGATCTATGAAGAGTGGGGGGGTGTGTTGCCAGGAATGGGAATTAGTGATTATTCTTATTGCAGCTTTTTGTTGAGTTATTATTGGCTTTCAATTCAAATTCAAATTCAAAGTTTATTCTCTATAAGGATTACAATGCTGAGTTTACAGAATTTGGTTATTGTGTGGTTTACATGTAGTAAAATAATAATTACAGAGTTTACCACTAGAACACCTAGCATGGCTAGGCATTTTGGGCAGACTTAAATTAAATCTTAAGTTTAAAATATTACAAAATTATGATGTAAGTTGGTATTATGGCTAAGTGACTAAATACTAGTTTGTGAGTTTAGCAATGTGAATGCTTTTGTTTTGGCACTACACATAGTTTCAGTATTGGAGTATCACAGGCCAACTTATGACTAGTTAAGATTCATTATTTTGAGATTGAGATTGATATTTCTGTTTATGGTCAAATGGGTGAGTGAGTGTAAGTGTTAACCACCAGGTGGTATTCGTGTAATTAGTTGACAGGGTGTATCAGGGAGATAAGATGTTTTCTGATGGTAGTTTTGAAGGTGATGAATGTGTCTGCAGTTTTAGAATTTTCAGGTAGGGTGTTCCAGATTTTAG